GGCTGCAGTCTGGAGTTTACTCTGGCTGTAGCCTGCTAAGAACATGCTAAGGGCATGAGGTCTTAGTCTGATTCCTGTTCACCTGCGTCGCCTCCCTGTGCACCCACCCCGGCTGGGGTACGGCTCCCGGCATACCACCTTGTAGACAACTGTTCTTTCTCTCCTTATAATTTATACTAAATATAATCAACATATATGTAACCAGAATAATACAAATCAGATTTTAATGCCAACTTATCATTTATTTTCTCTAAAAATAATTCAAACCATGAAGCCTTGTTTCAAAGTTCCAGAGGGTTTCTACTTTTATACAAACTTCATGTCACAGTGGAAAACCAAGATAATTATTTTATATTTTATATTTTATTTTATCTTATTATTTATACATTTAATCACTATACAATCATTTAGATTGTAAAGAGATTTTATCCAGCATAATACACATTTTCAGTTGAGAATACTATACACATGAAAACCAAGATATTTAAAAATGTGCTTTGATGAGGAATTTAAAAACTCTACCGAAACAGTATGAAGTACTAAATTCTTGACAATTATGTCTGGCATTTAACACTGTTCACAAACAAAATGTGTTTTTATACACATTGCCTCATGTCAAATGTAATATCCTTGTAACGTGTTATTCTTATTTGGGGTGAGTGAGTTCAGGCTCTGTCATTTAAGCCACGTTACGTGACTACCTTGCCCAAAGTCACATATTTGGCTAGATGCCAGAACTGGAACTGGAACCCAAGTTTTCTACCTCCATAAATCTAAGGTAATTTTCACTCATCAGTTAAAATCCACTGTTTTCTTATTTATTTAGAAAAGAAGTGTAGCCAAAAAGTGGTATAAGAAATCTGATCATTGAGGTCATTGAAAAGTGATCCTCGGGACCAGCAATTAGCGTAATGGCTATGTCGCTGGACTCCCATGTAGTCGAACATGGTTCGTGTCCTGGACCCAGTGGCTTAAAACTCACGCTGGGCGCGTGTGCATGTGTGCCCAAGATCCCGAGAGGAGAATGGAGGAGAAGGGATTGCGGCATGACCATCCCCTCTGGGGGGTGATTTCTCGCTTTCTGTCTCTATGTCTCTGTCTGTCTGGCGAGCGCATGTGTCCTATAGCGAAAACCTCTCCAAAAAAAAAAAAAAAAGTGATCCTCTAAGAGCGGGTTCAAGGAATGTTAGAACTATGATAATCTCCTTGATCAACTAGAGCTTGAGAACTTTTTTCTAATGTAAGGATTATAAAAATCCTCTAGACTGCAGTACACCTTTGGAAAACACTACTCAAACAAAACTCTTCTAACCCCAAGAGCAATGAAACAAAAATATGAAAAGAATCCTAATACGCAATGACTCATAAATGTTAAAAATATTTTTGAAAACCACATCTAACTTCTGTTTTCTTTTTTAAAAAATTATTATTGATATTCACTTCCTCAAAAAAAAAAATCTGCAGGGGCCCAACCTGTTGTTTGATAGATTGAGGCCCGGGAGATTGGGTTCAATTCACCCAGAAAGAAAACCCAGTCGGGGTGATGCAGTATGTCATCCCAGCTACTCAGGAGATGGAGGCAGGAAAATCATGAGCTCTCAGTCACTGTGGACAACATAGTGAAACCTTGTCTAAAAAAAAGAAAACCTAAACACACACACACACACACACACACACAAACACGATCAGCAACTTGAGAGCCAGTCTGAGAATTTTCTTCACTGTCTCTTAGGGATCGTGCTATATTTTCCCCTTTCCCATCACTCCCTTAGTCCAACATGGCCCACACTTCACGAGTTTCACCCACTGAGCAAACAAGTAGCTATACCGGCATTAGTAGCTAGAGCAGAAGGAACTAGTTTTAGAACTGGAAGATGTCATAAGAATTCAAGACCTTCCAGATTTCTTTCCAGGGACCACAATGGACGGTATGGGTTTTTAAACATGAGGAACAAACAAAATTTGAGTATTTCAGGCATGCGGTTTGCTTGATGAACTTAAAAGCACCTGGGGAAGTTTTTCTGCTTTATTTCCTTTTTTTTTTTTTTCACTTGCTGGTGCATATATGTTCCCAATTGTCTTCTGCACACATTTATTTTCTATTCTAACTAGATTTGCAAATCTTATAAAGGAGGTCAGGGAACTCACCCCACTTGATTTGTGATATCTCAGAAATGAGACGCCTCATGGCTGTGCTGCAGAATGTCTCTTGTTGTTGAATCATACTTAGTTTATGGAAGAAGGAGCAATCACAATTTGCCTCAGAATTGAAGGATCTCTAAAACCTGTGACTTTTATCTAGTGATCAGTCATATGCCCTCAGTGTTTACGGATTTCTGTTTTTCAGTTACTTACTGGCACTTGGGACCATCTACCTGTTCAGCCTTGACTCCAATTCCTGAGGCCTCTACTTTTTCTCTTTGTGACAGTTTTTATTTGTGTGTGTGTCAACTTGGCTAGGCTCTAGTACCCATTTATTTAATCAAATGCTTATCTAGGGTGTTGCTATGGTACTATTTTGTAGAAGTGGTAACAACTACAATCTGTTAACCTTAGAAAAAGGAGATTATCTTAAAAGTGATTTCTTTTTTTTTTTAAGTGATTTCTTACCCCTTGCTCTTTAATCGCTCTTTAATTGTGAGTGGGCCTCTTTCAATCAGTTCAAGGTCAAAGAGCAAAGATGTGTTTACACATCTGTCAGCAGCATTACCCCGTCTTTCCAACTGGCCAGCTTGCCCTGCCCTACAGATGCCAGCCTCCCCAGTCATTTATTCCTTGGCACGAATCAATCTATCTCTTCCCTCTTCACTCTCTCTCTAGTTCTATTTCTCTGGAGAACCCTGACTAATAGACCCTTTGAACATATTGTTGCATTGTTCCTTGTTTTTAAAACTTAGCCTTGTCTCCATTCTCTTACTCTTATTTGGACCACCAAGATCTGTACTCTTAATTACCGAATGCCCTGTTGATTTTTTATTTAATCTATTATAGAACATGTGCATGCATACGTGAGTGTGTATACGCGTGTGTGTGTGCATGAGAGAGAAAAGCACCCTCCACAGGGCCTGGTTATGCTATGATCCCCTTCCTCCGGTCCTTCAGCCCTTCGGATCTTGAGACTCACGTACATGCCTGGTGTGTTTCAGGCTGACGAGTCGGGAATTACACCTCAGTTGCCATGTGGGAACCAGCATCTCTTAAGCATCACGTGGAGCTGATCTTGTATTTTTGTTGTCTAGTCCCTTATCTTGATATTACTATCATAATTTGAGTATCTGGACTCCAGAAAGCTCAGCAGATTCTGATGCCATAGTTGAACTTTCCATCTGTTTCCTGGTACTCTCTGAGATAAATGTGATTCTGCAGTTTTGTACTGGGGTACCCCTGGCTCTGGCCCTGTACTTCCACTGTGTGATTTCTCACCTCCTGCTCTGCCAGGACTGCCCCTCTCTCTTGTCTACCATCACCTTCCTCCTTGCCCCTTTAAACCCTGGGAACACACACACACACAAACTAGATGAGAAAGTCAGGAGTCCTCTGATGATGCCTTGGCTCTGTCACTTGCAAGTTAATTGACCTTAAGCATTACATTCTTTATTTTAAAGAAGTATTAAAGATTGTCTCTAAGTTGCTAAATTTTGGATATCATGGTGGAGACACATCTTAGTCTTATAGGTCCTAGGTGAGTAAATCTTGAGGAATCTACCTGGGGAAAGCGCAGGTAGGTAAAGGCATTGGCATGGGCTCATCTCTAGTCGTATTTTCTGCTACGGCAATTCTTATAGTTAAGCCCTAAATCCCAGCTGCTTTCAAATTTCTCAAGTTTTAGAAACTTGTTCCTAGCAGTTCCCCTGAGCGTTGCATGCCAGCAAATCCACACACTCCATGCAACATGGACTTTGGAATAGACTGACGGTGTCACTTAGATCAGAACCTAAGTGACCCTGAGCCTTGGAAACCTCCGTATTCTTTTCTCCTTCATCTTCAGAACAATCTGCACCTTCTGGGTTCTGAAAGTTTCACTCTGCTTAATGATCTA